CCTCGCTGGGCCCCCCCCAATTGGCGGAACGCCAGGGCCCGGTCGCAATTGCGACCGCTGCGACCCTGTTAGTTCCGCCAGTGCTGTGGAGAAAGGGGCTAGGTTATACTGGATGCCCTCCAGCCAGGAAATGAGGTAGGCTCTGTCTGACTTCTGCAGCTTTTATTGCTGATTGTGAGAAACTCAAAGAGGGGAATTTATCAAAACTGGAGCAGAGAAAATCTGGAGCAGCTGTGCATGGCAACCAATCAGTTTCTCTTTTTCATTTTCAAATCTTAACTGAACAAACTGAAGAGAGAAGCTGATTGGTTGCCCTGGGCAACTGCTCCAGATTCTCCAGTTTTGATACATTCCCCCCACAGTGTGCAGTAAAATCAGAGAAAGCTATTTTAGTCCAGGAAAGGAGCCTATACAATTGTGCAAGACTGCAGGTAAGGTGGAAGTTCAACCTTAAAGGGGTTCTAAACCCTCCATTTTTTTTGCCTATATCTACTGCTAGCAAGCAGTAGATATAGGCAAGAAGTAAAAAAAAAACAAAACCTGCTTTAACTAGGTTTAAACTTACCTCGTTAATGCTGCGCATTCCCTTGCCAAGATTCAGGAACTCGTACGGCCACAAAGGATCTTGGGGCGGGCGCATGCGCAGTTCCGATTCTCAAGACGAGCAGAGACGCAAGGTAAGTCTATGGACGCGTGCACCCGCATGCAGACACCGCTGGATCGGAGGGACAGAGCAGTAAGTGCTGGATCAGAGAGCCGCCACACCGCTGGAGGGACAGATGAAAACATCAGGAAAGAAGAACATCGGAATAAGAGACATCATTTAGGGCCTGTTCACACGACGTCCGTTTTGTGTGCTGACCGGCTCCGTACGCTGCTGCACTCAAAATGCATCCCAATGTATCCCTATGTGTTTTATGGGCTCCAGTTCTCACGTGCGCAGTCCGTTCAGCTTACGACAGAAAAAATCCTGCATGTCACATTTTGTCCGGTCCGGAAACGCGCGAACGGAAACGCAACGCAATGCAGCTAAGGGGGAAAAAAAAATAAAAAATTGTATTCTTGCTCCACTTATTATGATGTCATCAACGTTGACAAAAAATTAACTGTCAGCATCCGGACCGAAAACGCATCAAAAACGCACTGCATCAGCAGCTACACGTCTGCTGATCAGCACCTGATCTCATGTGAACAGGCCCTTAAGGTAAGTGCTGACATTAACATGTGGGGAGGGAAAACATTTTTTGACTTTAATGTCACTTTAAGCGCAATATCTTTGAGTTCATACACCTTTAGTTCCTCCACCCAGTAGGGTCTTATGAAGATAAAAGGGGCTCCCTCCTAGGAACACCTCGTACCAAGGATACATCACACTGACGCATTCTAAAGATGAAGAACTGCAGATCTAGGCCTGAATGCAGTTTATCTGTTTAATCCGGAACTCCATAGCAACTGGGACAAGAGAAGGTAGAATACGCTAAAACTCAGTGGTTAGACTACAACAACCTCTCAGGCTAAAAGTCGCTGGCATCACACAGAACTTGTTATGGAGCATAGCAGCCATCAAACTGGAGGTCCTCGTGGTTCTCCATTTCTGTGATGACTCTTGCATAGGTCAAATTAGACCAGCATGGCCTTCAGGCACATACACTTCTTAGAGAGGGGAAACACCCTCTAGGCTTGGACTCCAACTCTGTCCCTTACAACAAGCACAAGACCTACACAAAGG